GACCTACCAAACTTGTGGCTTTAGTTCAAGTCCAGTTCCAGTTACTTGCCAGTTTTTACTCTGTTGGCTTTTGACATACTGCCTATTTGACCTTGCAGTGATGATACAGCACTGAATTTTGACCTTTACCTTCCCATTCAAAAGTTGGTAAAATAAGAGGATGCCCATACCAAACATGAGAGCTAAAAGTGTCCTTTGTTTTCCCCTCATTGCCTCTATGTACACACACACATATACACATTTACTTTGCCTTTCTGTCCCATTTCAAAGGATGTCTGAGATATGTACTTCAGCATTTAAAAATCTGCAGTGCAGCTCATTTATGGACTCAAGTTTTCACACACAAGCTAGGAATGGATTGCAGTGGTGACCACAAAGTCAGTAACTCATTGGAGTCCTTGTGGGAGAAGGGACAAGGGTTTGGTTTTCATTCACAAACCCCTCATGTCTTTGCACCACCTGATACTGACCAAGCCAGCCTGCAAACACTGTGTTATTTCATGGCCAGGTGAGAGCCAGACTAATACCTGAAAAGAAGACTTCTGAACACTCAGTAAAATTGTTTACAAAGTGCCCTGAAAACAAGATTAAAAAAACCCAAGCCAACCTCAACAAAATGATTGTGTTTAAAATTAACCTCAGAGCTGTGGTAACTACTTGGTAGCGCATACAAGGGTCTAAGGGCCCTCCCAACCCTCCCTTCCCAATGCCCCCTGCCCCCAAAAGAAGAAGAAGAAAAGGAGAACCAAAAAGAAACTATTGTAGGTAGCAATACAAGACATTAGGACACTGTCCACAATGACAGGCTTACTGCATGTAAATACATTTATTCTATATGTAAGCAACTGAAATAGCAGGAAACCCAAGGAATGGACATGTTTGGCTCTGTGGGTATTGCAGACTCCAACATGTCTCATGAGTGTCTGCATTTCTGCCAGCGAGACAGAAAAAAGTCTTGGTCTCCCAAATAAGCAAATCTTGACTGGAGACACCTTCACTGCTGCAAAATTTTCAAGATCCACTGATACAGCACTTGGGTCTTGCACTGTTTAGCAAGATACAGTGGAGCAGTTGTGATCATAAATTTTGAAAAAAAACAAAAAAACCCAACCAAACCCCAAACTTACCCTATACACTGACAGTCACCTTTACAAGAACACAACACAAGAAGAACTGAAGAAAAAAAAAGGTGAAAAGGATTGCCTCCAATAAATGTTTCTTAGTCGGAAATTAAAGGTTTTCCTTGAAGTCAGTAGATATTTTATATATATTTATATAATATATATACTATTTATAGCACTAGCAATCAACATGTAATGAAGAGATGGTGTGAAGAGCAGCAAAACTGCTGCAGTACAGAGCCAAAGGTGAACAACTAAAAGGAAGAGCATTTAAAAAAATAGTAATAACTGGAGGATAAGAAGCCTGCAGCCTTTTTTTTTGTTTGCTTTTTTCTCTTAAAGCACATGTGCTCACCTGACATAAAATCTTACAACAACTTTTAAGAGTCAGCTCTGTCTGCCAAACTCCTTTGCTTTTTCAGGAAGCTTTTTCCCGTGCGATGTTGCTGTGGCGGCAGTGACGTGGTGGAGCTGGGGCTCAGCCCCACGAGATGGCACTGTGTCCATGCAATCCAGGCAGTGGAACTGCTGCTGGGTTTTCTCCCACCAAAAACAACATCCTGAACCCATCTGGCTGCCCTTGCTTCCCACCTGCTCTCCTTGGGGCAACAGGATAGGGATGCTGTTGTGAATACCAGCAGCCAGAGCCCTCTCCCACAGTGCACAGTGCCCTGCCACTGCCACTCCCCCAGAAAAAAAGAAAAAACTGAGCAAAATTAATGCAGGGAAGTGTGAGGTGAGGTGGGAGCTGCTGTTAGCAGCAGTGGCAAAGAATGGGTGCAGAGCTGCTGGGATGAGCTGTGGCTCTGTGGAGGAACCTTCCCCTGGCTCTCCCTGCCCTGTCAGGGCTGAGGCAGCCCAAGGGGCTGTGCTGGGAGCCTGCCAAGCCTGTGGAGCTGCTGCTGGAGAAACCACCCAGCCTGTGATTGCAGCAGGGGATCGTGGGTGGTTTCTGAGCAGTTAGGGGGGAAGAACAGCAGCTTCACCACCCAGTGGCAGTCATGCTGCTGCCCATGTCATGTTCAGTGATGAAGGGTACATTCCTGACCTCCAGCCACCTCTGTGGATGCTCCTCTTAATAGGAGTGTGCATTTTTCCTCACAATAAATCCTCTTTACTGTGATGTTGTGAAAGGAAAATGCCCCAAAACACTGAGGAAGTTGTTCATCTGCCAGTTGTTTCTCTTGCAGAAGGCATCAGAACGCAGGTCAGAGGGCTGGCCAAAGGAGCATCAACTCATAGCAGTACAGATAAATAGGAGAGACTTTGTGGCCCTGATCCTGCTGAGAAGGGTGCACATGCTGCCCACCTAGAAAAAACTGAGAGCTGGGGAGCAACAAGTGAGCCTGGGGATCAACCAAGACAGACTGAGCTGAAAAGGCCAAAGGGTTTAAGGACAATTCAGCTCCTGCACCTGCCTTGGAAGAGAAGTCAAGGAAGGACGCATGGGAAAGGTGAAAAAGGACAAACTAAACACAACTGATTACACCTAAAAATGGCATGGGAAGGAGAAAAGCTGAGACCTACCTTTAAGAGCCATTTTAGCCCTCTGAGGAAAGTTAAAGTGGAGAAAGGGCAGAGCTGAAAGCCCCAGTCCAACTCTCCAGAAGTTGAAAGCAAAATTTCTATTAGCATTGCAGTGGGCTGCACCAGATGCCCAAGGTGAAAAAGAAGATGGTTGTTCATTGAGAGGATGCCCATGGCATCTCCACATTAAGAGAAGGTGGGGCTTACACGAGCAAAATGCACACAGATGTTGAAAGTTACAATGCATGTCCTCTGGTCTCCAGTTTTGACTGAAATGCTGTTTGCAAACTGCCTGGTTATCTCTTACAAGGAAGGGAACTTTTTGTGCTGGCTGTCTGGTGGTCAATCAAAACCTAACTCACTGGTCAGGGAACTATAAGCAAAAAGTGACAAGGCTGTGGAAATGTCAAATGGAAAAAAAGGTCAGATGAAATTTTCTTTTCATTTTGACCGATGACATTTTCAGTTACCTTCAAAGGTGCAATCTGGAAAGCCTTGGGGAAAGCAAAACTAAAAGCACAAAAGAGAACAAGATAACTTCAGTCTTGGGAAGCATATGGAATGGTAATGCATATGTGGACAGGGGCACACATGTGTGCACAGCAATAATAACCAGGGCCTGGCTGGAAACCTGGAGTGGACAGGCTGGGGCAGAAAAGCTTTTCTGTGCCAGACATAAATGACAGCCCAGTCAGGTGGTAAAACTACTGCAATCCTATGTGCTGTCATGAACCCAAAGCCACAATTTTCAGTGAACAGAACAAAATATGTTTGCAGTGACAAACATTTTTGATTTGCTCCTTTTGCAAAGCTCCCACATCACCTGTTTTGTGAGGGCTGTAGAGGAACAAGTCTTCCCTGGCCAGCCACTGAGGACTGCACTGCACAGGCAGTGCTGGTGGCAGGAGCAGCAAAGGCAGCAAACTGCAGCACACAGGATTTCAGCTTCACCAATCCACTGCCCTGCACTGCCCCATGGAACACAGGCTTCCCTGGCTGCAGCAGTGCCTGGGAATATCCATGGAGATCTGCCAAGTGCATCTCACACAGAAATGACCCAGCAGAGGGCTGGGCTGGCAGAGCAAGCATTGCTGGAGGTGGTGGGTTTCAGTGAGACCTGCAGCTCTGTGGGGAACTGATGGCTCTTAGAATGATACAAAACAAAGCAAAAATTATGGAGGCCCACTTTGGATGCATAAATCAGGTGGAGGATGTCAGTGCCTCCACATGCCTGCACCATCTCTGGTTCACAGCCTCCTCAGGACAGGACTCCTTGGAGCAACCTGGAGCAACCTGTCATGCCAGGGTCACACACTTGGTGGGTGAAGATCAGCAGTCACCAGTTCATGCTGCCTTGGCACAGGGCATGGAGCACAGCAATGCTAACAAGAGGTGAGCAGCCTCTGTGGGCTGGCAGAGGACTCTGGAGGAGGAGTACAATGACAAATGAAAGGACAGGCAGCATAGAGAGGGACATGTGTTAAAAGACCTTCAGGGAGGAGACAAAAGGTTCCATAAAACCAGAAATTATTCATTCTGCTGCTGACAATATTAGAAATAAAGTAATAATGGCAATAATAATAGTCATTATAATCCTTGCACTAGGTACTAATCAGTAAATAACTATCATAGCAACTTCTCTTTTTCATTTTTTTCTGGGTTTCTCCCCCTCCCCTCCAACCACTCTGAATTGCATATCTGGCCCCTTATATAGCAAAGGGGTGGAAAGGGTGTGAATTGAAAATTAGCTCAGATCCTTCATTCCCCACTGTCTTAGAGCTATTCTCCACACAGGCTCAGTGGGACTGCCTTGGGGAAGAAAGGGAACATTTTGTGTGTTCCTGCTTATCAGCCAGAGTACCTGCTTTCCAGATGCACACCCTGATTTTCTTGGATTGTGTTTTTTTTTTTTTTTTACAAGTAGGTCTAGGAAACAGAACAATGACAGGAGGATCATTGTGAGACAACCAATGTGCAGAATTGTAGCCAAAATCTGAATTCACCAGAAACCAATAAGCTGAAATAGCCACAACCAACTGTCCATAGCCTTGTCTACAATGGCTTTAAACAAAAAATATAAAGAGCCATGGACAGTTTCCTTACCCCTGTCCAGAATTTGATGTAAACAACATCCATAGAAACTGGGATTGTTAAGAAAGTTTATCCATATATCTGGATAGCAATAAAAAGCGTTTCCTAGGAAACTGTAAAAACCTGTACCAAGCAGTGTACAGCCAAGCCGAGAGGAACATTAGGTTGATTTATATTTTCAAGGTACAACTTTGCATGATCTCTTTCTGATCCTGTGATAATGTACAAGGAGAGCACGTGTGAAGGTCAGGGCTGGTTTTTTTTTGTTTGTTTGCTTGCTTTCTTCTCTGAAACGTCTCTTGTGTAACTCATTGGTCTGGGTTTTCATTTCAATTCTCCTTTGCAATAACAGGGCATTACCGCTCCCTGCGTCTGTCCTTCCTGGTCATGCCAAGGCTGCATCAGTAATTTCCTTCTGCTGCCAAAGAAACAACTGTTTCATGTCTTCCCATTTCTTCCAGAACTGCTGCCAGCATGCTCAGGTTGCCATCAGGGAAATTCTGGGCTTCCCAGAGATCCAGGATCACCCCGGTGGGACTTGATTTTGTAGCAAAATAATTTAAGTACCTGCAATGAGCCAAAAGGAAACTTGCTGGTTTTGAGCTGCATGGAAACTACCTGAATTCATATGATTTCAACCCGCCCCTGTTGTTGGTGTTGTCAAGGTGCTCTTCCCCTGTGCAGTCAGCATGACCAGTGTGCCCATGTGCTTTCAGTGGCACTTGCACCAGGATGTTTTTGCACATATCCCCCCCCTCCCTAGGAGTTCCCCTGCCTAACCACAATGGGTTAGGCCTGCTCACCTGTCCAGTTTCAGCTTGTGGGCCAGCATGCGCCAGTCGTGGCCCCTGGTCTGGGGAGCGTCCAGGCTGCTGCACAGCTTCTGCCTTATCGGGTGGGGGATGCTGAAAGCACTGGGCCCCACGATGGTGGTGATGGTGCCCGCTGAGTCCATGGCAGGGTAATCAATGCCAGTAGGTTCCTGAGATTGGAAAGATAGAAAAAAAGCCTGAAAAACCCATCAGTTTTGCTACTGAGTGAAGAGACAATGGTAAAACAACATCCTCTGAGACACAGGGCTTTTACTTGCAGCCCTCTGCTAATCTAATAAACACTAACATAAATATGTTAGTCCACTGGAAAATAGAAATATTTATAATCAGCTTTGGGTAGAAAGAAATTTTTTTTCCTCCTCTTTTTTTTTTAAGGGTAAATATTACTATAGCTGGACAAAATGGCCATCTTAATTAATCACTTATTGGAAATAATGAAGGATCAGTCACTCTAGACACATTTCAGAGCAAGGTGCTACTGCTAGAGCAGAGCTGGGCTTTCCTGGCATGGCTGACAAGATCCCCTTCCTAGCATCTTCCCAAGCCCAGTGTCCCACTGAGCCAGCACCAGGCTTGTAGAGCCTCTGAAGTTCAGCTCCTGGTGAATTCATCCTGGAGCTGTTCTATACACCTTGGTGTGGCTGCTGGTGAACCAGAAGAGCTTGCTAAAGACTCCAGTGGATAGCACCAGCTGGCACCGTGCATTGGACACCAGCTGATCTTTTTTTTTTCCACAAGGAACAGTCTATTACAGGTGAAGGGAGCAGGACAAAAAACCCTCCAGCTCCCTTGTGCAAGGGGTTTTGTTCAGACAAAAGTGAGGAGGTGCACACAAACAGCTAACCAATAGGGAATCCTCGAGGGAGGAAGAGGCAGATTACATCAAGTGTCTGGGGCAAACTGGGGTTAGGAGAGTGGAGAGGATGGGTCACATGAGCCAATGGGGCTTTGAGGAATAGGGGAATTTCAAAGGGGTGTTGCAGACAGAGATTGGCCTGAGGTTTAAGCAGCAGAGAAAGTTCAGGAATCAAGGGCTGGTTGCCTTGGCAGGGAAAGAGCTGGAACAAGGGGTGGGGAATGGCATGAGGGACAGCTTTAAGGGAGGTTAAAACCCAGGGTAAACCAGCTTGGGGAGAACATGGGGGTACAACAGAACGAACCACTTAACAAGGAATCAATAAAATAAATTCTAACCACAACACAGGCTCGCACTACTGACATCCCTCTGGCAGTACCCAAGCTCTCTGAAGTCTCCAATACTCTGCAGACCACAGACAAACAGTCAGTACCACCCCAGGCACAAGCTGAGCCCTCATCTGCTTGTGACTTTGACTCTGGAAATAGATGGAGAGCATGTGCTCAGAGCAGGGGGTGGGGTAGGTGGGGACAGGCATTGCCCCCTCTCCCCAAGACACCTGCTGTGCTCCAAGGCAGTGTGGCAGCAGGTGTTTCAAGGGAAAAGTCATCCCCAAAGCCAGCTTGTCCCCTGCAGGTGTGGTGCTGATGCTCTTTGATGCGGTCCTCCCAGCTGGAGGGGTCCCCATGGCAACACTGCTGACACCACCGGTAATAACAGCAGTTGGCTCCTCTGGGCAAGGATTTTGTCTTCTCCTTGGCCTGGATGGATTTAGTGCCCAAAGGCTTGGTAGCTGGTGGGACAATGATAGCTGGTAAATTTGGATGGTTGGATTTGTTTAGGAACAGCGAGGTCCTGCAGGGACCCTGATGGAAAAAGCAGCAAACATGGCTGGTTCTGCCCTAATGCTGCTTAGTCTATTTCACAATTTGGTATTCTTTTCTAGTAGAAATGGGGGAGCTGCTACTCCTCCCCCTCTGCCAGATCACAGCCCCAGGCAGCCAGAAACACTCATGCTAAAGACTTGTCATTAAATATCAATTTGTTTTCTCCTCTGTGAACTGTCTTGTTGCTTTGTGTCAAACTGGCTGTTGGGAAGGAGCTGTAATACCTGAAACAGTCTTAAAGCCAGGCAGCTCCTGGCTGAAGCTGTAATCACAAACCCTCCAAGGATTTTGCTGGAGATGCTCATAGTCCTGTGCAATCTCTGGTTTACCCCCCAAAAATGTATTTAGAGATGGAAAGGGAAGAGCCAGTGTCCATGAGCAATGCACAGAATGAAACCTTCTGGCTCCACTCTTTTATGTACACCAATTAATTCTCTTCCACTGTATAAATATGATTTTTTTTGGCTTTTTTTTTGTTTGTTTGTTTTAGGTTTTTTGGGTTGTTTTTGTTAAAGGCATGGCATTTTAGGCAATCAGAGAAATTTCCAACTAAGGAACATTTACACAACCCTGTAATGTCCTCAATTAACATGTTGAATGTGGCATCTGTACTTGGGTGCCAAGGCCGTGGATCACAGACTGCCTGTCCCAACCCCAAAGCCTGGCAGCAGGTACTGCCTGGGAGCCAGGAAAATGATGTGCCTGATGCTGGTGCTGTGTGCAGGCTCACCCACACTGGGAGGTTGGAAGTGGCAGTAGGGTGGTGGCAGAGGCATTGCAGACTGATAACCTTTTCTTTATATTCTGGGCCAAAGGACACAAGTGCTGCCCTGGCTCTCTAGGTGGCCTGCAGCCCCAGGGGCTTCAGGATTGCTGCAGAAGGGGCCCAGGTATCTGTAGCATTGTCCTGTGACTCTTCTGTGTGAGTATCAATGGTACAAGATAAAAAGAGGGCTTCAAAAATGAATCAGGGGAGACCTTTATCACAATTTTCCTCCTGCTTTGCAAATGTGTGTGTTTTGGCACTCACTGCATTTGTATTTTTGAAGTCCCAGTGGTAGACATTGTATAAAGCCAGTATAAGACAGTTTAATCTGCAGAAGTTTTACATCCTTTGCAGTGGACTAAAAAGAAAGCCCATCAAGGGAGGATTCAGGAAACTGTGTTACTAAATTTTTATCGCAGAGTGACAGTGGCAGAGAGACAGATGCAGCAATAAGGAAAGATGCCAGCACAGTCTTGCAATGCCTAACTGCTGGCTGGATACCACTAGCCTAACCTCAGAAGAAAATGTGAGGAACCAGAGTTATGGTTTCCTGATGCCTGGTCTGATGTCTTTATCATGCTTCTAGATGCATACATTGGTTTCCAAGTTGCAGTTATTACTCTTTTAGGTGATGACCCTTTCATCAGATCTTTGAGTTACAGGATTTTTCCCTAGATGACCCTATATCCCAGCTCTTAGCAGCCCAAGGTCCTCCTGTTCCTTGCTGGAGTTTGGGAACATCACAAGGTGTCAACATCAAGGGGCAATTTTGCAGGAGGCAGCCTTGATCACAGTGGTATTGTTCACTCCCTCTATTCATCCTTGATGGATAGGATCACAGCACAAGACAAGAATATTATCGTGTTCTGAATCTATTACCAGGCCCTATTACACACAACCAGCTGAAGATGATTATAGTGTATACATGCATTTCATTAAAGTTACTTTCAGCTCTTTCTCTTCTCTGTGAGGTTAAATTAGTGATTACCTCAATGCAGCACTTATTACAATAATTGTTTATGATGCTTGTTTTACCATCTGTCCTTAATGCTGTGTAGTCCCCAGATGAATCTGTAACTTTACACCCACTAACCAAGCAGATGTTATGGGTAATGGTGCTCGCTGTCAGAGCCCTACAGCACAAGCAACTTTCATCTCTGCTCTTGCAGCCCTTTCCCAAGCCAGCCAGCAGTAATTGCCACCTGAGAGTCTGCTCCTTGTAGCTGCCAAGGGTACCAGGGATAAAACCCACCAGCACAATCACTGAAGTCAATGTCACTTCACATCTGAATTTGTTGCTCCATCTCAGCCCCAAACTTGACTGCCCCATGGAGCTAAAATTCTCCAGGTGCTACACAGCATTAGCAAATTTATGATAGTATTTCTTCTGGAAAATGAAAGCCATCAAAAGAAAAATTGCCACAGACAAAAGTCAGGATTTGTAGTAGTAGCAAAACACAATGAGGAAAGTTACTGCAACCAGACCATCTGATATTTCCTATTGCACAGCAGCTATTACATGGGATCAGAGGGGAGTGGCTCACAGAACACACAGCACTGACATTTTCCTATTCTCTTTTCTCTCTCTCTAGGGAGCTATCAGACATACTGGGTCTCATGGACTGCCAAGGAAACAGGACTGTAAGAGCTTCATGAGATGTTTTAGGGAGTGGTAGGCAAAGAGCTCCTCCAGACAGACACAGAAAGGCAGCACTAGGGAGAGACCTCCCACCTTTGAAGGAGGGATGCTTCCTTCATGAGAGAAACTAAGGAAAAAATGCAACAGGAGAGACAAAGCAATGACTTAATCTATTCTTTATGTCCATACCAGCAGTCAGGAAGCACTAAAGAGGTCCCAATGGGAAAGGTTTTACCTTCCTAGCCATTCCATATTTCTGAAGTTGGATAGAAAAGTACACAAGTGTCATTTACCTCTGAGACAGAGCAGTTAAGCTGAAAGATCTGTCCTTCTCCTTCGACCTGCCGCACACACAGTTTGCACACCAGCTCCTGGGTATTCAGACTGAACCTTTCCAGTGTGAAGGTGCAGTGCAGGTTCCTCTGACATCCACTCCAGATGTGGTAAAAGGGAATTTCCTGCAGGAGGAAAGCAAAAAAGTATAGTCAGGGAGGGATGTGGAACCAAGGCATGGATGCTATGTCACCAGGGACTGCAGGCTTCATGCTAATGTGACTGCAAATGGTCCAGGGGAAAAACATGTCCATGGAACTACAGCCTGACTCCTGGTGTTTTTTAAACACACCTGTGTGTGACAGTATTTCTTTAAGCCTCACTGCTAGCATCCCATGTGAATGTTATGTTGTGCTCACCTGGTATTTAGCCAGCAGCTTGCTCTTCCAGAGAGAATGGGCAATGTCATGAATGGACAGACGGAGGTTGTGGGTGCTTCCCTTGAAATGCAAAGTTTTAGGCTCTTCCAAAAGCTGCCCACCCATCTGCTGCTCAAGCTGGAGGACCTCCTGCAGTATTGGGATAAAAAGAAGAAAGTGGTCAGGTTTCATCAAGACAGCACACTGGTCTTCAGAATCCTCAAGGTTGTGTGCTGTAGATGCTGCAACCTGTGTAAAACAGATTAAAAAAATACACAGGCATCACACAGAATTGTGTGTCCCTGTGAACTGGAACTGCATTAGTTGATCTGATTGTAACCCTCTCACCTCCTTCATCCAGCAGCAGCCCAGCAGGGAGACACAGTGTGCTCTCACATGTCCTGTAAGCAGAAGCTCAATTCTATGCTATTCAACAGAATGTGAAGACTTTGTGTGCAGTCACTGCTTGAGTAGAGAAATAGCTCGATCTCTGTTGCTCATCAAACTGGACATCTGATGGTAGCTTTACTGTCTGGTTTTTGGGAACTCTGTTTGTATAGGTCCTGCTGACATGGGACCTGTGCATACCACTGGTCAGTCAGCTCATGGTCTCCTGCCCTGTGGCAGGAGTACAAGAGATAACAGATACCAGCCCTGACACTGGCCAGCAGGATGGCATGGAAACAGCCCAAGAGACAGTGATGGAGCATTTTGTTCCATCCATGAATACACAGGTTCAGGGCTACTGAAATATTGATCATGTGATTAAAATTTAGCAAGCCAAGAGTCTGGTCATTTTATGAAGCTAAATATGAGCTTGTAATTAATAAGACCACAGTGGAATGTTGTCTACAAACAGCCTAATTGTGGACCACATGGAAAAAGCAAGTATAAAGGCACTTCCATGAGCCCCATTAGAAACCAACATAGCCAATCTCAGTCCCATTTAATTAAAGGAGTCAACCAGCCAACAAGTCTCATGTGGCTAAAGACAATCATGCACAGTGGAGATGCTCAAGGAATACAGGAGCACACAAGGCTGGGATTCTGCCCGAGGCCAAGTAAGTCCTCATTTTAGCTAAGCTGCTCCTGACTACATTGAGGAGGTAGTAAGCATATAAGAAAAGCATCTGGCAGATTCTGAAGCTAAAACAATGTTCTTTTATTGGCTATTAGAGGAAAAGAAACAAAATCAGGAAACCTTTCAATTAAGGGTATGCCAATGAATCAGTTCCAGCTTCTTTCCAGTGCCACCTAATTACTTCATCAAGATGTCTAAAGAGCAATCAATAGTAATTATCTGATTACTATAGATCTTCATTATGTTCCAATTACCTCCCTGGAATGTCCAGAAGATGACTTGTGGAGCTGTGTGAGCTAATTGCAGATGCCACCTCTCAGGCATGCAGGACAGGTGTGCCAAGAAACTGCTCCTGCCTGTGCTGTACCAGCTCTGGGAGCTGCACTACTGTGGGGGAAAACTGCAGTGTGATGCTGCACCATCCCACCCACCAGATCTGTGTTTCTAGTTTCAACAACCCACTTCTGGTAGCCACCCTGGGCCACTGTAACTTTTCCACAGGCTTTAATTGGACGATGCCAAGCAGCCTGTGCTTCTCCCGTGCCATTTAGCTAATTAATTCAGAATTAATTTGGAGCCATGATTTGCACAGCCCTTCAAACACACTGGCTGGTTCCTGCCATACGGCCTTTTTTTAGAGCAGTGCTTATCCTGCTGGCTGGCACCTCTGTGTCCTCCTGAGCCAAAACCTGAGCTGCATATTGCTTGCCCCATGCTGAGGTGGCTGTGGTCACCCTGCACACTGTCTCTCACCACCCTGCAAAGAAGGAGTTATTTCCTAGGAGAGGGAGCTCTGTAAAGCATCACTCCATCACCCGTGGCACCAGAACAGCTGCAGCTTGGGCCTCTTCATTAAAAGGGCACAAGCAAACAATGGCGTTCAGTCCAAGCTGTGCCTTTCTTCAATAAAAGGAAAAAAATGCATTAAACAACAGAGAGATCATAGGCCTGTTGTGCCCATTTTTGGGTGTTTTTTTGAAGACACCTGCTGTGCAGCACAAGACAGGTTGGGGACTGTCACCCTGCTACAGCCTGAAGTCCTTCACATGCCCCCAGTGTGGGAGGCAGCTGTTGCCATGTGTCTGGCTGCTCAGCCCCTCCACACTGCCACAGACAGGTCACATACCTTAATCTCAAAGGCACACATCAATAAAGAGAGCAAAGCAGATGGATTTCTTTATAGTTATCCTGTTATTACTTTTTCCTTTGTCTTTCTTTTCTTTTTTTTTTTTTTTTAACCCTGGGCATCTTCTTCAAGGTGCAAAAATTAACCTTAAAAAAAGAGGCCAGCGCTCAAGGTGACAATTCCCCTCATCCTTGCCTAAAAGGCATTTTTGTGAACATCCCATCCAGGTGGCTCAGGACCCTGTGGTGCAGAGGATGCTGCATGTGTGATCAGCACCGAGCCCATGCTGCTCCACAGCAGCCAGGAGCTTCACTAAGCTGCTCCCACAATAACCAAGCCCTTATTGATGGCAAATCATTACACTTCCCTACTGTACTGCGGGTGCCGGCAGCTCAGCTGCGAGTGCTTACTCTGCATGATGGGAGGGAAAAGTCTGCTGGATAAACACTGCACTGAGCTTTATGCTGCAACTACTTGTCTTCCTTTGGTGGCTGTTAAAATACATTCAGCATATGGCACACTCATTCCTGGTTGTAAATAATAACAGAATGCATTTGGTTGTCTATTAAAAAATACACACAATCCCCTACAAAGGCTCTTCCAAAGCTCAGGCAATGCAATATGGGAATATTGCTCTTCCCTACCCTTGCTGTGCTTTGCCCAGAGCAGCCAGCCTCAAGACATGGAGATGTTGCAGCTGGTGCTTCACCTGCTGCTTACAACTTTTCTTTCCTCTCTGAAATACTTCTAATGTCAGGATCTGCTGGCCCAGCCCTGTCTGCACGCCTTGTCCCCACACCCAGTGGTAACTGCCCTGTGAATGCCTTCCCTTTGGCAATACAGCATTGCCAAGGATGTCCTCCCAGCACAGCAGGGGCTGCTGCAGTACCAGCTGCTGTGAAAGCACATGCCAAATACCCCAACCTTTTTTTCTTCTATCTAAATAGTCATAGACTGAGTCTACACAACATTGTCACACAGGGATGTTTAGTACACACTGGTTTGTATGCACCAGTTCGTACATGCCTGGTCATACACACTGGACCATAGCCAGCCCTTCCAACTACACCTATTTTACTCATCTACAGCTGCTCTACTGGGCTTCTTTTTCCTCAATCTTCTCCTTCCTTACATTTCCAAAGAAGGGCAGTTCATGCATTCATAAGAGTCTGTGGCCAGCAAGTAGATGTGCTTGTCCTCCTGCAAACCACCAGCTGGCCGGGTCTTGAACCCCATGGGTGCCCCCCCCCAGTCTTGGGGTGGACATACCAAAGAGAAAAAAAATTAAAATCCATGAACTGGATGTAAGAAAGCAGTAGGTACAGAGTGGGATGGTGGCCTCCTGACTTTGCTCACCTTTCCTCACTAATCTGCAGTTTCACTTTGGGCTCTAGCTGCAGCAAGATCCCAAGGACTGACCTGTTGCCCTCCCAAATTTTGGCTGCAGCTTCTCAGGTGAAGGATGGTTCTCCTGTGCACCTTTCCTGATCCCTTCTGCTGTTGCACTGAATTGGATTAACTTTACCACACAACTCTCCCTACAGTCTATTAGAAACAGACCAACAGCTCCTGAGTAATTCCTAATTAGATTCCTCAGCTCTGACTGCATTAGCTGGCTGGCAAAGGCCCCTCCAACTCAGTTATTATTACCTCAGGCCTTGTCAAACCCATGGAAAATTATATTATCCAGCACAGGCATAAAACCATTAGGACTTTTGAAGCTTGATTGCTATGAAAGATCCTTTCCACTTTTTTTTTTAATAGGAAAAACAAAAGGGAAATCAGTCCGGGGAAAATAATTGTTTTAAGGTTGGTAACACCAATGCAGTGACAGAGACCAAGCTCCCAGAGGACAAAACCATGCTGAAGTCCCCATGTGCCTGCTTCAACTGTTATACTTGTTACCTTTCTTACATGCACAAGAGCACCCCCTCAGCAAAGCCTAGGCAGGCAATATCAGATACTATCAGGGAGGACAACCAAGTGTGCTGCTCTTAGTGATGGAAGTCACTGTTCTGAAAAACACAAACATCTCCCAGCCAGTGTATTTGGGTTTAAATCCCAATAATTCCCAGCTGGACCTGGGGAAACAAAAGCATGTACAGCAGCAGGATGACTCTGCTTAGTCAGGCTTTGAAGTTACTTTGCCACAAAGAAGTGAAGTAGCACTACCTACAGCTAAAGGAAAAACCCCACCTTTTAATAAACTCAGTTGTGCAGCTGTAGCTACATATTTCATGAGGCCATCTATTATAGATATCTTCTGTATGAATACAGGTATTTATAAAGAGAAATAGTGAGTATGGGTACCTCTCTGCTCATCTGCATGTAGTGAGTGTGTGTTTGTGTGAATGCCAGAATTATGCAGGGAGAGTAAGGTTATCCAGTTAGGGATAGCAGCAGCTTTGCTTTATTCCACTTGTGAATTCCCAACACAAAAAGCTGCACGCAAAGGGGTGTAATAAAGCAGTATGAAAGCAGGCAGTGATTAACGGGCCAGAAGCTTCTTTTATCATTATCAAGTATTTACAAAGAAGCATTTATATGTTTTCCCATCTCTGGGGAGCTGGCACTTAGCATTAAAAATACATGAATAACGAATGAAGCCCTGTGTACCTTATGGCCTTTTAATAATGCAAAAACCTTAGGATTCAGGATATGATACAGGTAAACAAAGGAAAAAAGACTGGTGGGTGGAAAATGGTGTGAGATCCCTATGCAAAAGACAATTTATAGCGTCTGAGGGTTAAACTGTAAAACAGCAGCTTGCTGTCAAGCTCTTCTTCTAATTAGAAAAACAACACAGGGAGCATGAATACATGGAGCAGAGGGTCCATGTATGCTATGACTGAAATCCTGTGACAACTGAGGAGGGAGAGGGAGAGCAAGCAAGAGACCAAGAACCACCTTAAGAGCATCCTGCATGTCATCGAGGCAGTAGACCCGGATGCTGTACTCCAAGGATGAGCAGGACAGCGGTCCAAAGATGGCCAGTTTGAGACGTTTGGCTGCTGCCTTGGTGATTGACTGTCCCACCAAGGCATAGGTGCTGAGGGTTTCTGTCAGGATGTGGCAGGCCTCTGGGTCCAGCTGGATATAGCACGGGGTGGTGAAGTTTTCCTCTCCGACCACCACCACATCCTAAGAGAGAAAGAGGCCAAGTTACAGCATGTGACTCCTCAGAGCTGCTCTCCTTTCAGGCAGCAATGCCCTTTCAAGCCTGGATGATGCAAAAAGTCCTTGCTGTTTGCCCCTTAGATGAATCCAGGTCTAAATGTCCTGCTTCCAGCTTTTATCCTATGTAGACACAGGGACCAGATTCCTCTGGGGTGCTGGTGATGATGTTTGAGGTCGAATGCTGCCCCTGTCTTCAATCCGGCTTTTAAAGCCCTGGGCAGAGTTAGGCAAATAATGAAAATATCACCAAGACATTACTGAAAGAGGTATTGCAGAACTAATCATTTGGTGACCATGATTCAGCATCAGTAGTCTCAGGCATGCTGAATAAATAACTGCCCTTCACCTCCTAAGCACAACAATAAGGACTTATAAAAACTCAGGGAAGGAAGTAACCTCTGTGACAGCCAAATACCACATCTATATGAAATATCACCTGCTGCTTCCTCAGAATAATCCTCTGTGACAAGACTGCAGGACGAGGAAAAAAACACTGCCTGAATGCAGATGACCTCCCTACCCTGGGCATACAGGAAAACAGCTCCCCTGCTAATTTCTCCATTCAACCCTGCGTGTAATATCCTGCACGCAACACAAGGTGCTTTGAATGGCTTTGAGAGGGAGCAGGAGTGAAAGGTCAGCAGCAGGTGACAGCCACCTCTTGCAAAGCCATTCCGTGCCACACGACACTCAGCACAACTTTTCCACTTCATCCCTGCTGCCTGCAGCTCTGCAGAGCAATGTACACACCTGGCAGCTGAAAAAAGTGGGCTCAGCTGGCATTAGGCATTAAGCTTGGCTCCCTTGGTCTCAGGAGAGGCACACCTGCCACATTTGCAGTGGTGGCACTGCAAGCCTTTTTGGAGGGCAAGGTGCTGCTCCATGGCATGGCTCTGGCAGGAGGTGCTGCCCCGGGTGATGCTGCAGGGTGTGCCTGAATGTGCACACGTGTGTGTGTGTGTGTGAGGCTCAGCTTGGAGGAGCTGCTCCAGAGCTGACAGGAGGAAGAAGATTGCTGTGTGATGGCCAGGGGCCCCATGGATGCTGCACACACACCAGGGTGTGTGCAGGGCTGGCAGAGCAAGCTGTGCCTAGGGCAGGAGCAGGATAGGGGGATAATGAATAGGTGCCAGTAACACACAGCCACAAGAAAGGGACGCACGTGTGGTGCCACAAGTGGGGCTGTGGGGTGCAGATTAGCTGGCGAGACAGAGCCGTGCTTGCTGCGTGCTCCCTCCCAGCAGGAGGAAGAGCCAGTGCCACAGGCAGGAGGCCAAACACGAGAGGCTTTTGAAGACAATGCTGGACATGGCACTTCTGCTGCTGTCAGCCCAACTGCCTTCAGAAGCCACCCTGACCTTATTAAACTTACCAGTAGGAGAAAGTGCCCTTGCCAAATTAATTATGAGACCAAACTGGTGGCAGCAGGGACCTAGGAGCGCAGAGCTGGAAAGGAGGGCTCTGTCAAGATGGCCCAGCCCTGCTGAAAGCATCGCTTTATGCTCCAGTTATAGTGGGAAGATCCTTTTGCCACACTGCCTTGGGACATTCTCCTGCTGTACTACTGGCAAGGAACGACCTCAGGCTCCCACCATGGAAACCTGCTGGTACTAGGAGGTGCCAAAGTGCCCCAAGGCAGATCTCTGAATGGGCACTCAGCAGCTTAGACATCTTGTAGGGAAGGGCACTCCTGCCTGCCTGTAGCAGTCATATGTAGCACCCATGGAAACCCCAAAATAGAGGTTCAGAAAGGCAAGTAAAGGACAAGCAGAGAGCCCTGCATGCAGCCAGCACACAGGCTGGAGCTCTGGAGCCTCACCTCCCATGGTCCCTGGGCAGCCTGGTGCTTCAGCTGGATCTGCCAGTCCTCTGTGTTTGGCTCTGCACAGTGGTGCATGGTTAAAATGACGGGCCGGGTTAGCAGGGCTCCTGGGGGGCCACAGCTCACCACTGGTGTCAGCAGCGTTTGGCTGTCTTCTACTGGTGGCCTGGCAAGGAGACAGAAAGATGGATACATTAAGTGAGTTGAAAAAGACAAAAAGGTTCATTTGGGTGTGTAAAACTAATCCTTCTCTTAAAATAAAAAGACTGTACAAGCAAAATATTTTGTTTTTCCTTCATTTTTCCCAAATCCGTATTTATTTCCTTTTTTGCTTGTTTTTGTGCCAAATATCATTCATGTGACAAAATGGAGGTTTAGGTGTCAGCAAATTATAGGCCATATCTGCTGATTGCACTCCACTCTGAAGGATCCTTGCAGATGGTTTGCAAAGGCTCCACTTCACCCACTGCAAAAATGTGGTCACTGCTGCATTTGGCAGCTCTTCAGTGACACACAAAAATGAATGGTGTCTCTTGTAGACACCACTTGTGAGAACTATTTACTGTCAGGACAGAGAAAACTGACAAAAAGAGGAAGACACTGAACTAATAAGCACGTAAGCATGACTGAAAGTGGTGCACAGCACATCTGAGATGTGCAGTTTGAGTTCTGAGGCATCACCAAACCACTGATACTCCATTTTACTTAAAAAGCATTCAGATCTATTGGGATGGCTATTGCAAATAAGGCTGCAGGGAGCAAGTGTCACTGCTGGTGAGGGAGAAAGGATGGTAAGGAATAGTGCAAGGGTAAAACACACTTGCAAATCCCAAGATTTCTAGTGATTACCCCGAGTTGTTCAGCTAAAAACACAGTATTATCCAGTGTGCCTGCTGCCAGTCACTAGGAATCGGTGTTATGGGAAATCATGTGAATATTTAGGATACATAACATACACTCTGGTTTGAAAATGACAGTGTGTGTGCATGTGTGTGTGTGCACATGTGCAAGTGCAAACCATCCCAGACCAACCGCTGAGGAGCTCAAAACAAGAGGAAGCATGAGTGACTTTAACTATCCCGACATCTGGTATATGATAAATAGAGCTGAATGTGCCTCATCAACTGCCTCCCTAAATAATAGAGGACAAATTCATGATCCAGAAACCAGCAAGTGGGATTTTAGAAGCATTCAATGTGATCTGTGGTAAAAATCCTGATCTGCCCACAGGACCACACGTGCTCTGCTCTGGCTGAGGGTTCAGTTCCAGGCTGCATTTACAAATACAAGTACATCTAAATCAGTCTTAGAGAAATCTGTTGAGAAAACATTGCAAGCCTTTGTCTTTACCGAGAGAAAAAAAGAAGCAGCTGTAATCAGAGAATCCTAGAATATCCTAAGTTGGAAAGGACCCACAAGGATCATCAAGTCCAACTTTGGCCCCACACAGGATTATCCCCAAGAGTCACACCCTGTGCCTGAGAGCAAACACTTCTTGAATTCTGCCAGGCTGGTGCTGTGACCACTTCCCTGGGGAGACTGTGCCAGTGCCCAAACACCCTCTGGGTGAAGAACCTTTTCCTGATATCCAACCTAAACCTCCCCTGACACAACTTCAGGCCTTTCCCTCAGGTCCTGTCACTGTCACCACAGAGAAGAGATCAGTGCCTGCCCCTCCTCTTCCCCTCATAAAGAAGTTGTAACTGCAGTGAGGTCTCCCCTCAGTCTCCTCTTCTCCAGGCTGAACAGCCCCAGTGACCTCAGCCAATACTCACATGGCTTCCCTTCAAGACCCTTACCATCTTCCCTGCCCTCCTTTGGATGCTCCCTAATAGTTTAGATGCTCTCTAATAGCCTCTCTTGTATTGTGGTAGCCGAATCTGCTCACAATTTCAAGGTCAGGCCACACCAGAGCAGCAAAGAGCAGGGCAGATAATCTTTTTTAAGATAACATTTTTAAGGAGGCCAAATCAGGACAGAAGCTATTTTGATATCAAATTTATCACACCTATTGTAGTTATTGCAAATATATGTCCATAGGACTAATTTAATTTTGTCCACCTTAATTCTCCCTGCCTATCCCATTAATCTCACAGAATGAACAACAAACTTTTGAGAAATCTTTTTTTTCAAAATGGAATGAAGGCATTTTTGAAAATTACCCCTGGTTGTCTCAAATGTTGTGGAGGTTTTTGTAGCATTTGAGGAAAAAAAGGGTCTGGCATTGGAAAATTTAAATCTATGCAAATCAGTAAATCCAGATGATACGCATCTGTGGAAATTAACTGATGAGTTTACTAAATGACATAACAATTGTTTCTGAAAATCCATGGACTGGAAACAAACAGCTGCGATATAGATGTCTTTCAAAAAAGATGCAAAGTATAACAATCTGGACAGCTATCATGTATTGTGCCAGCCATTTCAGCCTAACAAATAATAAACAAAATAAATGAAACACAAGAGGAGGACCTAGTCCAGTTCCTCTTGCATAATGCAGAGAATCATCAGATTCAGATTAAGAAGATGAGGTACCACTTTTTTGCAAGGCCAGACTGAATAAATCATTGGACAGTTTTTCACTAAAACATGCCTTCTTTTTCTGTCACATTTACATTGTTATTTTGAACATAAGAAGCAATGAGAGGCTTAAAAAAAACTGAGTGTTTTTTTAAGAGTGTGTCAGTGGTTTTTAATGGTCATCAGCCTTGGGAATTCGTGGATATTTGAACACTCTCTTATGGCTAATTCAAGAAATTTTAAGAAACATTGTATCTTATGAGAAAGATCTCTCAAAATTATAGCATTTGTATGGAAAGCAGATATGACCAGTTATAGACTTAATCATCTCGTTAACCTAACTTCATCTAAAAGTACAGATCCATGAAAAAGAAAGGAAAATACAAGCTATCTTTTTTTTTTTTGATTGAATTACAAAACAAGCAATCAAAATGCAGGAGTGAATATATCATGATTGCCTTAAAAAAATTAATACGATGCCTTTTAGGTGAAAAATGAATTAAAATCAACAAGCACTGATGCCTGCAGTCAAAAAACCCCAAAAGGTCATTAAAATAATATGGTACTCATAAATCTTACAGTCTGAAGTTGTCTCCAAGTAAAGTTAAATTTAGTCACTGCTTCATGCCAAAATTTTTTACTGTCAGATTTTAGGACTCTGATGAAGAGCACGATTCTGTGCTGCAACATTTTACAGCTGATTAGAACAACTACAAAATGATTATGCAGAACACCAAGCCAGGGTGTGTTGCAGACTGTAGAGTGAGGAACTGTGATGGGAGGTGGATGCAAGCATACAAAGGACGTGTTAAAAATATCAAGGCTTTATATTCTTTCCCCATGTTCATAAACAGCATCTTTGTCACCAGACTTAGAAGATTTGTTGCCAGTTGGATGAGATATGCATGGTCCTGACCTGGATATTTACAATAGAGAACAGTCTGATTAGTGAAAAGCAGAAAAATGGGCCAGTTGTGGGGGTGCTTGACTTTACAGTCCCAATTTCCCAACCAGGCACACATCAGAGACTGGCACCACAAAATTACTGAACACCTGCTGGTCCTAGTGACTCTCCAAAATCCACCTCACACAGATAAACCTTTAAAAACTGAGATAAAATGAGTTGCAGAGAAGTTCTCCAGTGGTGTGAAGTGGGTCACTGTCACTGTTGAGGTGATATCCCAGCTCTGTTAAAGTCTATGCTAAATCTCTCTCTGACTACTGTGGGGCCAGGATTTCTACTCGCAATGTGGAAAACACAATTATTTCATTTACAGGTAACAATTAATAAGGAATCACTGCAAGTAACAGTGAAAGCCAGAAGACAATGGCAAAATTCTAGACAGGGCAAAAACATGAGTAGCATATAAAATCTCATTAATTGTTCAGCAGCTCAGGCTGGAGCAAAACAACTTCCAAAGAGTTACTTAGTAACAAATAAAGCAATAAAAGTGAACAACATTTCAGGTGAGCTTGCTGCAACACAGCAGGCATCAACATGTAACATGACACAGTGACAAGAAGCAAATCTGATTCCTGGTGTTGTACAGGACAAAGAGCACATCAGAGGTGATTTTCCCTTTCCTCTCCAGCTCCACCATGACTGCAGGTAGGAGCAGTGTGTTTAGGGACCACCATGAGATCTCAGAAATAAACCAGAAACCCAGTGGAATGAGGCTAAACAATGCAATGGCACAGACAGAAGAGAGGTGTCCTATGACAAGTGACAGGGAAAAGGAACACAAATCTCCCAACAAATCTTTTCTTGCTTCTCACTGTTTGCAATTTCCATTTTAAAACAAAGGGATTATGCCTTACTACAGCTAATGAGAACAGAAACAGATGCAGTAGACAAGATACATTATACAAGGGATATTAATTGTTCTTCTTCAAAGCATAAACCAACAGTAATTCATGGAATTAGTAAACAACAAATTTCCCTGAAGACAAGTTATTGTGTAGTTACTCATTACAGGCAATTTTACTCCTTCTCCTGAAATAGGTGATACAGCACCAGCAAAGCCAGGATCCCAGCCTAGAGGAGCACGTGCTGTGACCAGCATTGAGATTTATGTGTTATAGATTGTGGGAGATCCAGCACAAACAGAGAAACAGGGGAGCGTATAGAGCAAGGGAGTTGAATCTATGAGCAGAAATGATCAAAACTGTGGGTGATCTTTTAGGCTGATATCCAAAAAAAAAACCAAAAAACCAAACAAAAACCAAACCCAACCCCCTACAAAAGCCCCATCAACATGGACTTCACTTTAGGTTTGCAGCAGTCTCAGGATAACTTATTAGAAGAGACTGGCCACTCAGCTGTGTAACTCCAAAAACAAAGAGATGTTTTTGTTTTTCAAAGATCTGACGCTAAAATTCTACTCACTGCCTAGCATTTCTATTAAAAGGCACTAACAGTAACTGAAAGGTCTTCAGATATTTTTAGATGTTTTCCCATCCCTCAGAGATTATCAAAAACAGTCAACTTATATTTAAAAGCAAACAAACTTTTATTCACCATTTCTGGTCTCTTCACAATCAAATTTGTGTTTTTAATGGGATTACCCATTCAAAACCGTCTCCCTGTAATAAGCCAGACCATATTCATTAAGGTAGCTGTCAGACAGCAGATGTGAGCACAACTAG